AGAGATCATGGAATTCCAGACTGGTTTGAGTTGGAAGGGACATTAAAATCCATCCAGTGCCACCCCTGCCATGGCAGGGACACCTTCCACTGTCCCAGGCTGCTCCAAGCCCTGTCCAACCTGGCCTTGAAGATGTTTTAGGGATACCTTCCAGGGATCCAGGGGCTCCAAGCCCTGTCCAACCTGGCCTTGAAGATGTTTTAGGGATACCTTCCAGGGATCCAGGGGCAGCCACAGCATCTCTGGCCTTCTAACCACCTTAAAAATAAAAATACTCTCAATGCTAATCAAACTGAGGTCATCAATTTAATTAAACAGCACCAAAACTTAATTTCTAAGGATTTTTTATGGACCTCCATAAATTAAAATATAAATATATAAAAATATTTTGGATTATAATATTTAATAAAAATAGATATAAAGTCCACAAAGTAGAGGCAACTGAAGTTGCTCATATGGAGTCCATTCACATCCCAGTATTAAGCTTCAGCTCTAAACCAATTTTCCAAATCATTATTGGGTTTGCTGGCTTGAAATATAATTTTTTATTAAAACTCGCATTCATGCTTTTGGAGATAGACAAGTTTCATGGTGAATTTAAAGCATATTGGCTAGCAGGCAAATTGAAAAAGGGCTGGGAGTGATGTGTTTAGCACAGGGAAAAAGAAGAAGCAGAACAGTAGAGAGGAAAAGTTAAAATTTCACTTGGACACTTCGAGTAGTTGTGCCCTGCAATGTAATGGAGACGTGCTCAGTCTTCCTTTCCCACTCTGATCAAGACACAAATAATTAAGATATAGCAAATTCAGTGGGTTTTGTTTAAAAATTCTATTTATTTTCAGTAGGTTTGTGCACAAATAATGTCTTTATTTTAATCCTGTTCTTCTTTGTGGTTGCTTTGTTTATTTTCTGAGGGACAAACGCATTTTGTGGTTTCATACTCAAAGAAATCAGCAAGGTCTCTCCTGGTCTCCATCCCATCCTGGATGCTCCCAAGATATCATTTATTATTCCTGTGGAAAAGTTAAAGTGCCTAAATGCCACATTGCTGTGATGGTCATGGAAAAAAATAAGATTGGAAATGGATGAAATAAATTAAAGTTGTCATGGTCAAAGGGTGGTTGTGTGGAGAAGGGGAGATTAAAACTCTGGATAAGGCTGAGGTGAGATGGGGATTAAAGTGAGTCTTAATTGTGGTTTATACCTAAGGTTTGTGGGATGCAGGTGGATTTTATAATTTATTGCAAGGGACCTTCTCACATCCTGGGATGGGATGGATGTGGATCCTGGGTGTGGGAGTTTTGGGAAGGAATCAGAAATCACAGGTTTGAGAAGGTGGGGAGTTCAGAAAGGCACCATTTCATTGAGAATGTTTCAAACTTTTCAAGCAATTCCAGGGCAGGGAATGGAGGCCCAGGAGGGGCTGACGGAGCTGGCAAGGGGCTCAGCCTGGAGCAAAGGAGGCTCAGGGGGCCCTTGTGGCTCTGCACAACTCCCTGCCAGGAGGGGACAGCCAGGGGGGGTCGGGCTGTGCTGCCAGGGAACAGGGACAGGACAAGGGGAAAGGGCCTCAGGCTGGGCCAGGGGAGGCTCAGCTGGGACAGCAGCAGCAATTTCTGCATGGAAAGGGTGCTCAGGCCTTGGCAGGGGCTGCCCAGGGAGCTTTGCAGTGCCCAGCCCTGCAGGTGTTGATAAACTGTGTGGATGTGGCACTTGGGAACATGGTTAGTGGTGAGCAGGATGGTGCTGGTTGATGGTTGGACTTGATGGTCTTGGAGGTCCTTTCCATCCTCAACAATTCTGGTTCCACGGAGCCAGCACTGGGCTGAGAGGCAGAGACACACCCAGGTGACAATGACACACCCACACCCACCCAGGTGACACTGACAAACCAACCCCACCCGGGTGACAGTGACACACCATCCCTTCACCCTCTCTGCCTCCCAGTGGTCTTGTGCTCACAGAAATTCCCTTCCCTTCCACTCCCACGGGTGTTTTCTCGTCCTTTTCTGGGTGGATTGGGCTGGATTCTCCTGCTTTCATCTTCCCACAAAAATTCCAGCTTTTATCATCCAGTGATGCCAAATTATGGCATTAAAACACCTTTGCGTGTGCCCTAAAACACCTTCAAATAATATGTCGTGAAAAAAGCACCATTATTCATCTTAGCCATTAAAACATTGGAAAACAAGGAATTTATTCCCTTACGAAGGTTATTAGAGCTGAAAGCACAGGATAAAGGAAGTTGGACGCTCATTTTTTGCTGCTTTGCTTCTCCACAATCCAGAGGAATGCTGCGAAGGGATGAACTGGGTGTCTTACTGCAGCTGATGCATTGCTCCTGTTGTTCCCAATCCCTGGAATTAAAGGAAAGGAATGAAATCAGTGCAATTATCATGGGGGGAGAGTGGGGTTGCTGTTCTTTCCCCTCCCTCCAGAGCAAACTCTAAACCTCTCACTAATTGTTATTGATTTGTCAATCCGTTGGATTCAGCACTGGCAGAGGGAACTATCAGGTTCATTCCCACTGCAGAAATATCCTGGAATTGTGCTGGGAATGAAATGTAGGGCTTTTGTAACACTCTCACACCTTTAGAAGACAAAGAAAACAAAATCATCTATAATGCAGCATAAAAAGGGCATTTTCCTCTCTGACATCATCAAAAGAACTCCAGCTTTAAATGCTTCCAGCTTTGAAAGGTTTTGCTCCTGTCTTTTCCTGCCTTTTGGCATGTTTTTAATCCCTAAGATTAGCATTTGCATTGGTTAAATGCACCTTAAAAAGCTTTTCATAGCAATGGTTTAAGAGCTTAATAAATTAAGGAATTTTATTCCAGCCACTGACACAGATCAGTGGGAGCAGAGGGATCTGCTCCAGGCATGTGGTTTTGAGTAAAAGGGGATTTTTCCATCAGCTAAAAAAAGAGGAGATCACCGTCATGTTGCATGATCCAAAACTTAATTCCATATATTCATTATCCCTAAATTTTTGTTGGAAGTTCAAAGCAACATTGATTCCAAAGGAAATGTTTGTAAGGCAGACTTCAAGGGAAGTTTGGCCACTTCTTGGTGGGAGAAGTTTGGGTTCAATAGTTGGGATTGTATCCTGGGGTTCCAACTTTGATATAACCATGGAATATCCTGAATTGTAAGGGACACACAAGGGTTATTGATCCCAGCTCCTGCCCAGACACCCCAACAATCCCACCCTGTCCCTGAGAGCGTTGTCCCAGCACTCCTGGAGCTCTGACAGCCTCAGGGCCGTGCCCATTCCCTGCCCTTAGAATGGGAAAATGTGCTGTGGGGTGGGGGATTTGAAAACCACCTGAAAGATGAAAGGAGAAAGTGATAAAATATTAATGGAATCACAGAATTATTTAGGCTGAAAAGACCTCTGGGATCATCCAATCAAACTGTTCCTCCAGCACTGCCAGGGCCACCACCAGGGCTTGTCCCCAGGTGCCATTTGGCCTTCTGAATAACTCCATGATATTGAAGCAGCTGTAGATTCTGTCCAGAATTTTGAATATCAGTGCACAACTCATCTTCAAACTCAGGAGCCTCTCTGAGCAGATCCTCATCTGGTGTTTATTTTGTTATCTATAGAATGAGTGTCATTTTTAAAAATCTGCATTATACAGTAAAAAACCCCGTACATTCAGAGATGAGTGTCAAAACTTCCTTCTAAATTGATTTTGAAGAGTTTGAAGCATGAATTCAACCACTGCTTGCCATGAGGAAAATCTGAGGAAGAGGATTTCAAATGAGCTCAAGCCTCTCACTTATCCTTGTTGAAATTGTTTAGATTTCTGATTTAAAGACATCAGCACAGAGTCATGGAATGGTTTGGGTTCAAAGGGCCTCAAAGCCCACCCAGTGCCCCCCCTGCCATGGCAGGGACACCTTCCACTGTCCCAGGCTGCTCCAAGCCCCAAAGTCCAACCTGGCCTTGGGCACTGCCAGGGATCCAGGGGCAGCCACAGCTGCTCTGGGCACCCTGTGCCAGGGCCTGCCCACCCTTACAGTGGCTGGGTAGCTTTGGGTTGCAGTTCATAACCTGAAAAGCATCCTAGATTTTGGTACCAAAACATGTTAGCAGGAAAATTTTTGGACATTTGTGAAGAGTGGAAATTCCCATAGAGGTGGCCCCAAAGTGATTCCTGTTTAAGGCATGGAATTTTACCCATCAATGAATTTTCCTGTGTGGTTTTCTGACAGATTATTGAGTTTTGTTAGTAGACTTGAATATATTGAAGATCTATTATAAAAGAGATCTATGGATTTATATAAAATATATATAGAAAATATCTATTTTGTCTTTTACTTCCCATTTATCAGGCTGTGGTGGTGTGACGATGTTCTCGGGAGTCTTAGGATGAGAGAAGAGACGAGGATCTGACTCTATTTTTCAGAAGGCTGATTTATCATTTTATGATATATATTGCGTTTAAACTATACTAAAAGAATTGAATAAAAGGTTTCGTCAGAAGGCTGGCTAAGAATAGAATCAGAAAGAATGAATAACAAAAGCTTCTGTCTCAGACAGATAGTCCGAGCCAGCTGACTGTGATTGGCCATTAATTAGAAATAACCACTTGAGACCAATCACAGATCCACCTGTTGCATTCCACAGCAGCAGATAATCATTGTTTGCATTTTGTTCCTGAGACTTCTCAGCTTCTCAGGAGGAAAAATCCTAAAGAAAGGATTTTCCATAAAAGATGTCTGCGACATGGTGGTTCTTGTTTCTCATTATTCCCTGCTTTCCCACTTCTCAGATCCAAGAATCATTACATCTTTACATTGCCACCTCCTGTCTGTTGGACTTCTCAGTGACTTTTACATTCTCAAAGGTTAAACATTTTCCTTTTTAATATGATTTTCCCTCATAACAGATCCTTTGGCAGACGAATAGGTGGAGGCCATACTAACCTGAGGGATAAGTGTCAATGATCTGCTGCTCAGGAATGTAACACAAATCCTTCTGTCCCACTCTGCAGGCCTCCCCCAGTGAGTGAGAGTGCCCCGAAGGGAACCGTGGTCACCGTTGTCACCGCAGCCGCCTTGAACCAGACAGTGGTGTACTCCATTGTCTCAGGGAATGAGGAGGGTAAGTGTAATCAAATTAATATTAATATTAATATTTCAGTCTTGTGGTTATGCGGAGATCTGCAAGAAATTGTGGAGAAGTAAAGCTGCTGAGGTGAATCACAGAATCGTTGAGGTTGGAGAAGAACTCTCAGGTCATGGAGGTGAAATCCCACCTCATTTGGACAAGTATGAAGGAATTCCAGGGCTGGAAGGGACAAGAAACCTGGAAAGGGACTTTTTGTAAAGAACAGGATAAGGGGGAATGGCTTCAAGCTGGAACAGAGAAGTTTACATGGAATATTGGGAAGAAATTGTTCCCTGTGAGGGTAGGCAGGCCCTGGCACAGGGTGCCCAGAGCAGCTGTGGCTGCCCCTGGATCCCTGGCAGCACCCAAGGCCAGGTTGGACAGGGCTTGGAGACCCTGGAATGCTGGAACATGTCCCTGCCCATGGCAGGGGTGGCACTAGATGGGCTTTGAGGTCCCTTCTCACCCAAACCATTCTATGATTCTGTAACTACCATTACCAAGCCTTTGGAGATAAGCTAAAGATCAGATTAATTAGCAAAATTACAAGAAAATCTTTCTCACTGATGTGAAAATTCCTGTGGATGCCACATAGTGAGTCCACGGCACATCAAAATATAAACATAAATAGCTTTGATGGAATTGACTTGCTTAAAAATCTGATTTAAGGGATTATAGATTCAGCCATGCTGTAACAAATATTGGATTAGAGCCTGATATCCAAACAAAACATCCTGCTGGGATACTCTCTGTGATCCACCTGGACATCTTGCCAAAATAACACCGAATTACTGGGAGGGATGTAAAGAATTCCCCATCCCATCCTCCTTTTTTGCGAGATTGGGCTCTTTGTCTTGTCCCATCTTTCCATTTGTACTCAAAACACATCTGTGATGGGAGGTTTACTCTCTGATCCTTTGGGTCCCTCCCAGCTCAGGATATTCCATGATTCTGTGATGCTGGGTTGGTTATTCCAGTAGCAGGGCAGATCAAGCCACTCTGCTGCTTAAAAATATCTTCAAAGATGAGCTTGGTGGGGTTTTCCAAACCTGAGGGAGGGAGGCAGGGAGGGAATGACTTGCTTGGCAGTGTCAGAGAATTGTGTCATCCCCAAAATAAAACCCTTGGGCATTGAAAATCTCTGTTTATGCATCTCATAAAATTCCTGTTTTTGCTGGCTTCCAGATGTGTTTGCCATTCACAACAGAACAGGAGTGATCACTGTGAAAAAGCCTCTGGACTATGAACGTGTCCAAAGTTACGAGCTCCGGGTGCAGGCAGACTCCTTGCAGGTGGTGAAGTCCAACAACCTGCGGGTTCCCTCCAAAAGTAAGTGTCAAAAACCTTAACTTTGCCATCTTTTTCACACAGATATTGCTGGTGTTTGCTGAGAAGGCTGAAACTGCTCTCCAGTGACCTTGCTGTGTTTTAGGGGGTCATGGTGATGATGGGATCACAGCCCGTGGTGCATTTTTGGATCTCACAGCCTGACTTGCCCAGAGCAGCTGTGGCTGCCCCTGGATCCCTGGCAGTGCCCAAGGCCAGGCTGGACATTGGGGCTTGGAGCAGCCTGGGACAGTGGGAGCTGTCCCTGCCCATGGCAGGGGTGGTGCTGGATGGGTTTGTAGATCCCTTGCAACCCAAACCACTCTGGGATTCTGTGTTAGTTGAAGGTGCTCAAATATTTGGGAACATGTAATAAATCTTGGGGATGGCCTGAGACACTGTACAGGGGTGGCACTTCCAATACCTTCATCTTTCCAATGCTACCTACAGAACCAGAAGGAGATTTTGGGATTTTGAGCCTGGATTATCCTGGATATTTCTTTTTCCTTGAGTAAGAATTGAGTGTGTGGAGTGAGTGACACATCAGGAATAATCAGTGGTCAGGAGCTTGGTTTTATTAAGAGCAGAATGAGAGCCTGTGCAGGTTTAGTCACCATCAAGGATGTACCTGCCAGAGCTGCCTGTTTTTTCTTGAGCCTGGGAGAAATCCAGGTAAGGTTATATCCATAAAAATACAGCCAAGGGACACCCAGCAAGCAGATCAGACTCCCATGCAGCACACAGCTTTCTCCAAACCTTCCCGACATGGCTGAAGAGACAAGGCAGTCGGCAGGTCCTTCCCCCCATTCCCTATTCTGACTCACATTCTGCACTAGGGCAGCTCTTCCAAGTGAGCAGCCCATCCAAAAAGTGATGGCTGAATTGCTTTGTTCAGGAATGCTTGATAATGCCTGGGGTTTGACTTCAGGCCAGCTTAAAGGAGCACAAGCTGGGTGCCTTTGGTTCTCCATGAGTATACAGCACATCTATTCCTTAGAATATACACTGTGCTGCAGGGATGGCTAAAGAATTGATAAATATATATATTTAAAATACTTTAGTAGTGTCTGGCCAGCTGAATCACTTGGGACTTCATGATGGAGATCCCTTGATCTCTGGGTTTGATTCCTGCATTTATACAATTAAATCCTTTCCATTTTCTTGGCACTTTGTTTATTTTTGAGGAGTTTAATCAGGTTAAACACTACTTCTGAGTTTCAGGGCACTGAATTGATGTGCTGCAGTGGGAGGAGATGGGGCACAATTAACACATCACTGTGGGCTTTGCTGAGGTTGAACTGATGAATCATTTGGAGCTGAGTGACTTGGAGTGCGTGGTCCCAGGATTGTACAACACTGAATTAATACAGAGCTGTGACACCCACTGGCAGTGACCTGCTGCCAGTTTTGGTCCTGGACACCCCTGAATTGGTGGAATTTGTTCTTAAATTTGTTGGTGATCCACTCTGAAACTACAGGGATTTCTGGGCTCTTCACTTCAAGATACACATTGAGCGTGTCCAGGGAAGGGAACTGAGCTGGGGAAGGGTCTGGAGCCCCAGGAGGGGCTGAGGGAGCTGGCAAGGGGCTCAGCCTGGAGCAAAGGAGGCTCAGGGGGCCCTTGTGGCTCTGCACAACTCCCTGCCAGGAGGGGACAGCCAGGAGGGGCCGGTCTGTGCTGGCAGGGAACAGGGACAGGACAAGGGGAAAGGGCCTCAGGCTGGGCCAGGGGAGGCTCAGCTGGGACAGCAGCAGCAATTTCTGCATGGAAAGGGTGAATTAGTTCTTATCTATGTCACAGCCTCACAAACCCTGAGTTCTACAGCACTTCACTCTAACAAACTAAAAATGGAGCTCCATCTCTCTCTCTACAAGGCCTTTTAAGGATAAACTGCCCAATTAAGAAATGACGCCTAAATTATTTTTACTTTTAACCCAATAACCAACCACCCATGGCCTGCAATGCCGACTTTCTTATCCAGTTACACAAAACCACCCAAACCCATGGAGAAGAAGGTAAAGAAGAAGGATCAGTCTCTGCCCTGAAACCTCCATCTTGTTTATGTATATTACTGTATTCTAAAACCTTAAACTCTTAAGTCTTCCATCATGTGATATTACACACTTCTATTCAAATTATACACCCATAATCCCAGTTCTGTCATTCCATTTTGGAATTCCATTCCAGGCCTTGGCAGGGGCTGCCCAGGGAGCTTTGCAGTGCCCAGCCCTGCAGGTGTCCCAGGAAGGGCTGGAGGTGGCACTCAGTGCTCCGGGCTGGGGACAAGGTGGGCACTGGGCACAGCTGGGACTCCATGGGCTGGCAGGGATTCTCCAGCCTCAGTGATCCTGGGATTCTGTAAATAACACAACCCTGACAAACTGCTCAGCCAGCACACAGGCCTGAATGTCACAAAGCTCAGAAGATGGGCATCAAATTGTTTTCAGTCATGATATTATAGGAAGTAATTATGGAGAAGTAAGAGCTGGAGTTTCTTCTGTGCAGGGGAAAAGTGAAAGTGCATTAAGTGTAACTGAGCTTGTCATTCAGTGATGGTGCCAGGTGATAGCGTGGCAATAATTGAATAAATATGTGAGGAGGGGAAGTAAATTGAGATGTCCTTTGGAGTATGAGAACATCAAATTGGTGACTTAAACTGGGGGTTTCGTAGATGATGCTAAATCATGCAAAGTCACATTCTTGTTTTCAGCACAACCAAACTCATTAAAGGAGTTACTTTAACTGAAACTTCATGATATGAAATTGCTGTGTTGTTTTACTTCATTTGAGTGGAAGATGAGCTGGGTTGGGTGATGAGGATGATTCAAAAAGCTTGGAGTTCTTCTTGAGGATTCTGATGATGCTGAGCCCTGAAGGACCTTGAATATTAATGGAGTTTGGACAGTGCTCTCAGGCACAGGGTGGGGTTTTTGGGGCTGTCCTGTGCAGGGCCAGGAGTTGAACTTGATGCTCCTTGAAGTAAGAATGTAAAGGGTAGGAGGAGCAGAAGGATTTGTGTGGAAGCAGAGGGAGCAGGAAAGAGAAAGCACTGCCTAAACACAACAACAAAGAGCATTGCAGCAGGATGGGCAAGGAGGGGCAAAGAGAGGCTTTTATCTCCCAATTCAACCTGGTCCCAGTTGTAGAACTGTAGAACATGGATTGGTGGGCATGTCCAGAGCAACTGTAGCTGCCCCTGGATCCCTGGAATTGTCCAAGAGCAGGTTGGACAGGGCTTGGAGCAGCCTGGGACAGTGGAAGGTGTCCCTGCCCATGGCAGGGATGGGCTTTAAGGTCTCTTCCAACCCAAACCATTCTGGGATTCTGTGATTTCACATCCCTAGAGATGCAAAGGTAATGACAGGACCCTGTGGTGGCTTTTCCGGTATTTAAGAGGAATTAATTGACTGGGTGACAAGGTGGAGATTGGTCACAGGTCATGCTCCATGACCTTGGAGGTCCTTTCCAACCTGGATGATTCTATGACAGGACCATGTTAGACAGGGTTTTTATCTTGCTGTCAGAAGATTTGAAAGCAAAATCACCCTTCTGTGACAGTGTTCACAGGGGTTCTTGGATGAGGGAAGAGATGAGAATGTTGACTCCGTGTTTCAGAAGGCTTGATTTATTATTTTATGATATATATTACACTATAACTATAGTAAAAAGAATAGAAGGAAAAGGTTAATCTCAGAAGGCTAGCTAAGCTAAGAATAGAAAAGAAAAGAATGATAACAAAGGCAGCTGGCTTGGACAGAGAGAGAGAGCCAGCTCTGCCATGTCTGGTCACTAAATCAAACCAACCACATGAGACCAGTCACAGATGCACCTGTTGCATTCCACAGCAGCAGATAATCAATGTTTACATTTTGTTCCTGAGGCTTCTCAGCTTCTCAGGAGGAAAAAATCCTAAGAAAGGATTTTCATAAAAAGATGTCTGCGACACCCTTCCATTGATTATTTCCATGTTTTATCTGGTCAGGTAGAACTGTTTGTCACCTTTGTCACCCCCAGGGCTGGTACAAAGGCACTGTCCTGGCTCTGCTGAACCCAGCTTTGAGCAGGGCTTTGCTCTGGGGGCTGGGGTAAGGCACCAGTCCTGTCTCCTTCAGTTTTTGCTTTTCTAAACCCTAAAAACCCTTTGGGAATAAAGTGGAAATGGGAGTTTTACAACTAAAATTCTGCAGCTGCTCCATAGTCATTGGGAATGATGATTCCACTCCATTAAATATGGGCATGAATTCTGTGTCCCCGTGGTGTTGATGTAACAGTAAAGCAGCCTTATGTTTTTAGTTGCAAAAGTTGGTGCTGGCAGTGCTTTCCAAGCTGGCTGCTCTGGCAGTTCCCAAATCCAGGAGTTGTGACAGATGGACTCCATGCAAGCAGAGCCTGGAGAGCTGATCCTGCTGCCTCACAGCTCTGAGGAAGCTTGGGACAAACTTCCAATTTCTTTGGGCAGCAGAGCAATGCATTTTAGAGAGGCTGCACAAAACCTGAGCTCCCACTCAGGTCATTATTTGTGAGGAAAAGAGGTTTTATATGGATTTAAATCAGACCTCGGGTCTGTGCTGCTCCAAACACGTCGCTGTTTCCTTCTTTTTGCACTCTCTCGAGCAGTGACAGCATATGATGATCTTCTTCAGGCTTTATGGGCTCATTTAGATCTAAGTGCCACTGAAAAATATTCAGTACTGATTCCTGCTTGGTGCTGCCAAATGCAGGAATGTGAGCTGGAGCCCAGCTGCAGCTCAGCACAGCTCACCTGCCAAAGCACAGAGTGCTGCCTGCTCCACGCACTTGTAAGGCAGGAGTAAAGCAAAGTGCTCCTAAACCCTGGCAAATCACAATTCTGCCTCCCAGCTGGATTCTGATGAACTTTGGAAGGGTTCTTTGGAAATCTGCTCCTACAGAATTGCTTTTTGGAGATGCAGGGATTTGTGTGAGAATTATCCATGCCTGAAGAGCAGCTGTACCCATGGCTGGGCTGGAATGTTGCAGAAGGCAAGTGCAGTGCTGCTGGTGAAAGCACTGAGTAAAACTCACCTGGGAACACTCACAAACATCCATGATGCTGTCCCAGTGTCCAAAAATCATTGCTTTTCAGTTCAGCTTCATTTCTGCAGCCTGGCAAGAAAGTACAGGCTCACATGGACCTGGCACACAAACTGGAAAAGAACTTTCAACGAGGATGTTTGGGAAAAACTTGTGGGAATGAATTGCTAGTACACCCTGGTGATCCAGGAGTTTTTGTTGGGCTTGTTTTCTGTGTTACTTATTCATGGTCTGCTCATGTTAGGTATTTCAGAGGTTCCTCAGCTTTGCTTTAGTGCAGTTTTCAAGGTGTTTTCACTCCCCTTAAGCGAACCACAGAAGCTGAAAGATCCAAAACTCTTGGCAGTGGTTATTTAGCTGGTTCCTGTAAGCTGAGGATGACTTAGAAACAGCTGCAGTTCTGTATTTTCTGTGCACTGCAGCTCATCTCCAAGGGGCTGGAGAACAGGAGGAAAAAGGAACGTTGTAGGAGACTGTGGTACCACAGAAATCAATTTTCTTGGCTCCTTTTGGCCACGTTGGCAGCTTTGTCCAGGGAAAGATGCTTTTTGTTCTGCTCTTTAAGCAGCACAGTCATAAGTTACAAGATTTTATACCTGGATTCTGGGAGGTCTCACAAGAATTACCACCAAGGAGTAAATCCTGCTTTCAACCCCTGGAATCCATGAAGAAAAAAAGTAACTGGAGCTGGATTCCAGACTTAGAACTCCAAAGATGGGAGGTTTTACATGCATGGGGTACCAATTTCCCCTCTGGGAAGTGAATGTGAATACTGACAGCCTGTGATGATCCCTGTCCTTACAAAGAGGGTTTGAGCCACACCCAGCATTTAGAAAAGCAGGTAAAAATTTGGAATATGAAGGAAAAATTAGTCTAATGACAGAGTCTGGACCAGACTTTCTAAGAGTGTGCTTCATTGATGGCCTTTTCCATCAGGCTGGGGGATGCAGGAGTGATGGATTTGGGAGCACCAGTGCCCCTGTGCAGGGAATATTCCTGAATTAAGCAGAGAAACTGGAAAAATCCCCATGGGAAAGGGTCTGGCATGACCTTCCCCATGTGGCAGAGCTGCTGCTGAGGGATTTTAGTGAGAATTCCACTGTGAGGGTAAGACAACTTCTGTAGCTGATGGGGAGCCCTTTCCTGCAGCCAGCTGTGGAATTGGATCCAAAGGTGGGATGGGGAGGAGCTCACAGATGCCACATTCCACTCCACCTGCTGGAATGAAGGACTGTGGCCAGAAATCAGGCAGGAAGCTGAAATGCAGGGAGATATTCAATGGTGACAGTCCTAATGTTGGCCTGTGGATATGGAGGGTATTTAATTTGCTTTGTGCTTAATGTAATAACTTCCATTTCTCCATTCTCAAAGCATTCACCCTTTGCTAAACAAATCAGCCTTTTGGCAGCTCAGAGAACTGCCAGCAAATTAAACAAATGGGGAGTTGAGCAAACTGCAAGGCAAACTTTGCACAAGGCTCAGCCACCTCACCCAAACTGGCCTGAAATTACAAAAGTGAGCAATATGCAAATGATGTTTAATTTGAATTAGAGAGAACCAGGGCAGGTGGGCCAGCACCTAATCCCACTGGCATGGATAAAATCAGGATCTCCTAAAATCCAGCAGCAAACTGGTGGCAGCCAGTGATAGAACTGGTTATAGGCTCATCAGGGCAAGGTTGCTTCCATACATAATCCTGCTTTTGATGCCACCTTCTTCGCTAAAGGGTGGAGCTGCAGAGGGGAAGTCTGCCTGGGAAACTCATTTTCCTGCCATATAGTTTGGTATTGCAGCCAGAGACATTAAGGATCTAGTTTAAAAAGACAGAGATTTGACAATCAGTGTAATTTCCTTTCATTTCTTTACTTTCTTTTTTTCTCCCTTCTCTCCATGCTGAAGAATCCCACAGGAGTTTTTTTCACATTTCACTTCCATTTATGAGGCCATCATTTGTTTCCCATCAGCTGCACCGTCAGATAGGCAGAATATTACTTTGGCCATGTCAGAAATACTCTGAAATATCAACATTTTCCTTCTCTAAGCATACAGATCCTAAACCTTTTCTTAAGAGCCTGCATTGTACAAGGAACTCAGATCAGTGGCACCTGTGCAACACTGAAATTATCCTGGCACTGAAAGGAGCTGGGAAGACCAGCTCAGAAAGGAGGCAATTTATCACTTGCAAATGTGGTTTTAATGAACTGGATATCATCATTTCCAGCAATCTTTCTGGATGATACAATTCTGAAAGAGGGAAGCAGATGTTGGTGGAGATTGCTGCACAGTGGAATCTGTTTGGCACCAGCTCCGTGGTTTTTGCTGGATGTTTTTCCCCCTTGCAGAAGGATGGGGATGTTTATTGCTCAATGGGCTGGAGCAGGAACTCTTTAATAAAACCAAATTAACAGTGGGGTTTTGTGTTGAAGCTCTGGTGTTTTGTGTTGAAGCTCTGGTGTTTTGTGTTGAGCGCTGGTGGAGTTCCCCAGGGCCAGGCCAGGTTTGGGAGGAGAACAGGCTTGGGGGTGCTTTCAATTAACACAGGAAATTAATTAAGTGTTGAGGCTGCTAAACCAGGATTGTGTGACCATTTATGAGTTTACAGACACCAGGACTGAATCAGCCATTAAATATTTGCATGTAGGAATAATGAAAATAGATAAAGCAAGGTGTCGAGCTGCCGGTGATGAGCTCTTTGTGACACTCCTGGGTATTAAATGGGATCAAAAACCTTGGAACTAAGGTGTGATAGGGATCCCTAAAAGGAGCTGGGAAGGGTCTGGAGCCCCAGGAGGGGCTGAGGGAGCTGGCAAGGGGCTCAGCCTGGAGCAAAGGAGGCTCAGGGGGCCCTTGTGGCTCCGCACAACTCCCTGCCAGGAGGGGACAGCCAGGGGGGGTCGGGCTGTGCTGGCAGGGAACAGGGACAGGACAAGGGGAAAGGGCCTCAGGCTGGGCCAGGGGAGGCTCAGCTGGGACAGCAGCAGCAATTTCTGCATGGAAAGGGTGAATTAGTTCTTATCTATGTCACAGCCTCACAAACCCTGAGTTCTACAGCACTTCACTCTAACAAACTAAAAATGGAGCCCCATCTCTCTCTCTACAAGGCCTTTTAAGGATAAACTGTCCAATTAAGAAATGACACCTGAATTATTTTTACTTTTAACCCAATAACCAACCACCCATGGCCTGCAATGTGGACTTTCTTATCCAAACCTCCATCTTGTTTATATATATTACTGTATTCTAAAACCTTAAACTCTCAAGTTTCCCACCACGTTATGTTGCACACTTCAATCTCCACAGCCATAATCCCACTTCCATCATTCAAATGTTATAAATTATTGCAAAATTTCCTATTTTCCCTTTTCCTCCCTCTTTTAGGTAATACAGCCAAGGTCTTTGTTGAGGTGAAGGATGAAAATGACCATGCGCCTGTGTTCACCAAAAAACTGTACATTGGAGGGGTGTCTGAAGATGCCAGAATGTTTTCTTCTGTGCTCAAAGTGAAGGTAAGGGTCAAGTTTTTGTTATAACCTTCAATTACAGATGGAAAATTTGTACCCATTGGTTTGGTTTTTTTACAGAATATTCTGAAATTTGCATCTTCTAAAGCTGCTTGGTGGTTGATGTTGGCACAAGGATGATTTTGAGTAAAAACCCAGGTTTTGTTTGTAGTCAGTTTTGGTGCTTGTGTCTCATACCAATTTGTAGCTCTCATTTTAGATCTGTTATTATTTAAAAATTTGGTTTATGTTGAATGCCAGTGTTCACCCGAAGTATTTTTTTTGTATTTTGGCTCTTTTTTGTATTTAGGTTTGAAAGGGGAAATCCAGCAACTTTAGGTCTGCAATGAGAGGAAAGTGAGCATAAGATTAACCATCCACAGGGTTGGTTTTTTTGGGTTTTTTTTGTTATTTTGTTTTAAAGGGAGAGAAAATTAATGGAAATATAATATACAGATTAAAATTCACATCAGATATTAGTAGCCATGACTAAAAAGTCATTTTTTTCCAATAAAACAAATAAATAATGTGTTTAGAGCACCAGGAATGATAAAAGGGTCAGGGCTTAAATAAAGTTGTTTCTAGCTGGGTTTTTTTGTGTGTGTTTCATGAAAGTCTTTCCCAAAATAAGCCCAGAAATGGCAGAGAAGTGGGGAATTGGGAAGCTTCTACTTCATCAAAATCAGGAATCCAAAAATGGTGGCAAATCCAAGAATTGTGTCAAAACTTCAGAACTCCTGAAGAATCACAGAATTGTTAAGGTTGAAAGAGACTTTTAATACCATCAAATCCAACCATCCACCAGCACCACTGTGGTCACCACCAAAAATGTCCCCAGGCACCACTTCCACACATTTTGGGACAATTCCAGGGATGGAATGACTGACCTGGTCAATGCTTAACCACCCCTTCTGTGAATAAATTATTCCAATTATTCCATCCAAACCTCCTCTGGAACAACTTGAGGCCATTTCCTCTCCTCCTGTCCCTTGACTCATCCCCATCTGGCTCCATCCTCCTTCCAGGGAATTATAGAGAGCAGATACAGGACAGAGGCACTGGAGTAGATAAAAAACTCTGGAAGCCAAAGTAATTTAGGGAGAGGAACATTTCGTTCCATGTGAAAGCAAATGAATCACGAGGCACAAATGTCAAAACACATTTGGAGTCGTCCCACAAGATGTGGACAGGCTGTGAAATCCTTCCTGGTTTTCCAAGAGGATTTCTTAGGCACAGGTATTTGTGTGTCAGTCAGGGGGGTAAGAAATAGGTGGAGAAAAGGGAAATTTGGGGGTGATGAGGGGAATCTACTTTTGCCCTTTAGAAACATTTGACTCAAAATATGTGATCAGTGCACAAAGAAGGAGCAAAAAAAATGTCAATTTTGTGTCTTTCAGCTTTTTATCATCCAATCCTCCCTGGTTTTGCTGGCACAAAATGGAATGTGGCCTAAGCCAGGAGCTAGTATTAGTGGATGGCATTAAACATAATTGTGTGTTTAGTGAAAGTAAAATTAGAAATAATTAAGAAGTACTTTTGTTGCAGAGGATCAGGCTGGAATTTATTGTTGTAGCATGGAGCATTTGCAGCAGTCAGTGCTCGTTACCTTTTTTCCTGGCCTTTAGAAAGCAAAAGTAATTGCTCTGTTAGTTAAACACAATCCCCATTCCAGCCTGGTTTAAGAATAATTAATCGAATGAATGTCTGTTCTTGAGGAGTAGAATGAAATGAGCAGCTTTCCAAGCTGAAATTTAGGAGAACGTTAATAAAGTACACGCAGAGTTTGCACCGTGGAAATTATTCAGGTTTGGATTCCAGGGGGAAATTCAGGTTCTTAGGAGGTGTTTTTCATGCATTTGCTTTCATCTTCTGCATTCATTAACAGTTGCTCAGTTTCTTTCACATCATCTGAGTGATTTTGAGAAGAAAGTGATTTTCTCAGTATCTTCTTGTTATTGCTGGCACTGACAACAACCTTGATGAGCCTCAAACGTGCGATATTGGAATCAGAGAATTCCTAATTCCCAATATCCCATCCATCCCTGCCCTCTAGCAGTGGCCGCCATTCCCTGTCCCTCCATCCCTTGTCCCCACATTCCCTCTCCAGCCCTCCTGGAGCCCCTTTAGGCTCTGGAAGGGGCTCCAAAGTCTTCCCAGGGCTTCTCTTGTCCAGGTTGGTCAATCCCAACTCTCCCAGCATTTCAAATGACAAGATGCAAAACTACAACTTCCAAAAATGGTCCAAAAATCCCACAATTAGTTCTTCTTTAAGAGGACATAATAACTTATGGGGATAATTAAGGAGTGTAGTCTTTTTTATTAATAGAGTAGTTGATGTAGATCAGTTTTGTATCAATTGATCACAAATACACTGCTGAACATTCAGATGCTTTGTTCATGCTCTACTCTGCCTTGAACAAAATTTCACAAACAATAAAAATAATCAAACGCCAAAAATAAATCAAAATTAAAAAAAAAAATAAAGGAGAGAAGAAAACTAATCCTGAGTCCATAATCTTCCACACAAATTGAATTTAGAAACAAACAGACCAATAATATGTTGGATAAAAACTTCTCTCATCATCCAGACAGTTGATATGTACCAAGGCAAATCCTATGGAGTTTCTCCCAACTCTCTAAGGTCATAGGGTTTGCTGCCAGCAGCATCCTCTTAAATACATTAATTTGAGTATAAAAGCCTTTTAGAGGAGGATAATGAGCTGCTTTGCTCCACATTCATAGTAAGATTCCTCTAAGTAGATAAAAAGGACGCTTAAGCTCAGCAGAATACCGCAAATCATTCTCCAAAAGTCATTTTTAATCAGAATTAATTTGGGGAGTGATAAACCACATGAGTTATTCTCCATGGATCTGATTGGATTACGAGCAGTGGCCTCTGAGAGCTGGGAGGTATTGATGCTCCAAGATAAAAAAAGGGGATATATCTGAATAAAATGGCAATTTTTAGCAAAGGATTTGCTCCTTGCTGCTTGAATTCCCCTTCTTCGTAATTCCCATTTTTTACCCAGAATTTCCAATGTGTTTGAGAGCCCATTTCCTTAATTAAAGACCTTTTTGTGCTTTTCATTAGGAATATTCTAATTAAAACCAGATGTTACATGCATAGCCTCTAATTATGAATTCTGTGCCTTGATCTTTGCTTAGTGTTTCCTTGTGCTAGAATTATTTTGCTTTTCACTGGTATTTTCATGGAACTCCTGTTGCTCCCCCTCGGAATTCCAACCAGGTTTCCTTGAGCCCCAAACACAATATTTTCAATCTGCTCCAGGAAACAAACTGACAAAAGAATCTTTAGGGAAGTTACCAGCAGGAATTGGCTTTTCCCTACAATGGAATGTTATTAGCTGTTGCTTTTTAAATATTAACAGTATTAATCTCTGCTTTTCTTCCTTTATTTATTAAATTATTGAATTATTACAGATTTAAATGAGGAAATATCAGAGGTCCTGATTCTTGTGAAGAAAGAATTGTCTGAATTCCTGCTCAGTTTATAAAGGTGTTTTTGTCCTGAAAATGTTTGCAGGGAAGGAATCTTGCCTAAATAATGCCAGTGAATCCAAGGCTCTGGAATTGGCTGTATTTGATGGAAATGCTTTGTTTCCTACAATATTTTCATTCCAGCCTTTTCCTGTGCTCTTTACCTCTTTCTGATCAGATTTTTCATGGAACTTTATTCTTTATTCCCTTTGAATATCCTTTATTGAATATGTAATATCCTTGGAATATCTCAACAGAAGAGAGCAAAATAAACCAAAGCCATTTTAGGCTGCAGGTTCTGGCCCTGAGGACACACAGGGGAGCAGGAATTCCTCTTTTCTTCACCTCAAAAGCATCTTAGAGATCCCACAATGAGCTAAAACAATGGATAAAAGAAACAGTTAAAAATCCTGGATAGGGAGAGAATACCAAAATTGTTTTGTTTTTTTTTTTTTAACAGATCTGTTATTAAATCTCCTTTTTTTTTCCCCCTATCTGTGCCTATAACCTGTAGATTTCTTTTTATATTTCCTTTTCCTTGAGATGACAAGGGAATCTTCAGAGTGGCAAGTTCTGGAATTCCAGGGATTCCACCTTGGGCACCCAGGGGAGCTTTCAGGGCAACATTTGGCTCATCCCTCCTTTGGCTGCTGCACGACTCATGCACAAAACTGAACTGCTTTGCCAGTCACAACCTTTCCTTCCTTAAAATGTGATTTATGGATCCCAGAGCAGGGAGATAACATGCTTGGTAGGAGTAAAAATCTCCTTGGAAAGCTCATTGCAGTGACAACAGCGCAGCCTCCAGCTGCTGGAACCTCTGGCCCCCAAAAGAGCTGTGTGCCCTGCTGAGACAAATATTACAGGAATGCCAGGCATTTTTCCTTCAAAAATCATATTCCTGCTTTTTGTTGGTTTTCTGAACTTTTTACTCTAAGCTCTCTTACTTTCCTGTTCTTTTCCTCTGGCACAATCAGAGAATTCCCTACCCTTTGGGATTTTTTTCCCATGTAATTGAAGATTTTTCAATTACTTTTTTCTTTGAGGGCATTTTGAAGATTGGTGGTCCTGAATGCGCCTTCCTGAGTAAAGGCTCCTAGAGGGGCTGGGAGTGGGGAATGTGCCTGCATCATTCCCATCCCATAGAGGAAATCCATGTGTGTGGCCTTTACTTCCTCACACACACACAAAAAGTTATTCTCTAAAGCATTAACTTAAAGAAAAATAATAATAAAATCCATTTTTCCCAATTATTAGCTTCAAAATTCAATTTTGGGAACCTTCTTGTTCAAAACCTTTTCCCATGAGACAGCCTGTCAAAAGGAAGCTGGGTTTCCTTTGGCACCTGGGAGATTTATAGCCACCACAGGAGGACAAAGTGAGCAATTCCCATTCACCTGATTTATTCCTACCTGTGTTTCTTAGAAAATTCCTGGCACTGGGGGTATTGGGAGTGAGCTGGGCAGTGATCAGTATCAGTGATGTAGTGAAGAAATATAAATTGATAT